ATTGAACTACTCAATCTCTGTGGGATGATATTCGGATTCTAAAAATCCACTTTATTACTTGTTAACGTACCGTACACTTGCGGTGATTTTAACTGAAAGAAAATATTTCGTGAACAAGTTTTTGGTGTCGTTGTCGGGGATTGAGTATTTGTTTAATTTTATCTAAATTGGCACTAATTCAGATATCCATAATTACATTTCCTGTTACCTTGTTGTGTTTTATTTAAATTAATTCCATTTTAGTTTGTTCTAGTTATTATTTAATTTTAACATCTAAGCACTCTTATTAACTCTTCTTGCAAATTTGCATGATAAGATTTGCTGAAGGAGACTGACACCAGCTGATCCAGAAATCGAACAAACTTTCCATCGAAGGCAGCGAGAAAATAGAGAGGCACATCAACGAATGGCTAACGTGCAGAATAATCCAATTTTTCTGGCCAATGAAGAAGGGGCAGCGGATGAAGGAAATATGCTCGTGAGAGATTTCATGACCCCTCAGATAATTCAAAGCTAGTCAACCATCGTATATCCACCATTTGGACAGCCGAACTTTCAACTGAAGACTAATGTAATACAATTATTTCAAAACGATCATCAACTCTATGAAAGGACTGAAGAGAATCCACACACACATGTTTCGCGTTTTCTGGAGATGAGCCAACACTTCAGATATCAAGGAATTTTAGACGATGCAATAAGATTAAGGTTCTTCCCATATACACTGCGCAACAAGGCAATTGAATGGCTGGATTCGCAACCAATTGCAAGCACACCGCATGGAATGATCTAGCACAAAAATTATGCACTAAGTTCTTCCCACCTGCTAAGATCGCGAAGCTCAAGCACGACATCTCTATTTTTTGCCAAGGCGACTCTAAAAATTTTAATAAAACCTGGAATTGGTTCAAGAATATGCTGCAAAAGTGTCCACACCATGGGATTAGCAAGGGACTTCAAGTCCAATACTTCTATGCGGGATTACTTCCAGCCTTTAAAAGCATGGTTGACTCATCATCGAATGGATCACTGTCCACAAAGACAATTGATGAGGCACTGAAACTTTTCGAGACCATGGCCACTGCTTCAACTATGTGGACATCGGAACGAGCAGTTCAAAAGAAGACACCAGGGGTATATGAAATGGACGTCTATTCCGCCTTGTCAGCAAAAACTGATTCATTAATTCACAAGGTGGAATACATGACACAATCAGATAACACGGCACAGTCGAAAAAGACCAGTTGTGAAGAATGTGGAGCTGAGCATGTAACAGCAGAATGTTCAATCTTGGTATAAGGAGTAGAGCAGGTAGATTATGCTCAATGGGGATAGCAGCAACAAAATAACACATGGGAAAACATTTAATCCGAGTTGGAAGAAGCATATCCCAACTTCTCGTGGAGCAACTAGAATCAAAACAAGCCACAGGGACAATTTCAACAGCAAGAGAAGAAACCTCAGTTGGAAGAAATAATAGGAAAATTCATGGAGAAGGTTGAAGCTACACTTCAGAACCAAAATGCAGCTATCAAAAATTTAGAAACTCAGGCGGGACAATTAGCCATAGCATTGACTGGCAGAGCACCGAGAAACTTGCCAAGTAACACGAAAATAAACCCGAATGAGCATGCTAAGGCAATTACAACTCAAACTGGAAAGTAGCTACCAGAAATATATGTAAAAATGCCAGGTGCAAATCAAGAAACAGAATTCCCAACTATAGAAAAACCTTTAAAGCATGATGAATAGATGGAGGAATCCATCCCAGCTGAAAAATCGGACAACCCTCACGAACCTCTCATACCTTTTCCACAGAGGCTAAAAATGCAGAAGTTGGAGCAGCAATACAAGAAATTTCTTGAAGTTTTTAAGAAACTCCACATCAACATCCCACTCGCCGATGCATTATTCTAGATGCCTAGCTACGCAAAGTTTCTGAAGAACATACTATCAAATAAACGCAAGCTAGGGGATCACGAAACAATAATGTTAACAGAGGAATGCAGCGCCAGAATTCAGAAAAATCTCCCACCAAAATTGAAAGATCCAGGGAGTTTTACTGTTCCTTATTCTATTGGTGAAGTTCATTTTGATAAAGCTTTGTGTGATCTTGGTGCAAGTATTAATTTAATGCCTCTATCTATTTTTAGAAAACTTAACTTGGGAGAGGCTAAGGCAACTACTATAACGCTCTAGCTGGCTGACAGATCGTTAACACATCCTAGGGGAATAATTGAAGATGTGCTTGTTCAGGTGGAAAAATTCATATTCCCTGCGGATTTCCTAATCTTGAACATGGAAGAAGACAAGGATATTCCATTGATACTGGACAGACCATTTTTGGCAACAGGAAGAGCCTTGATCGACGTTCAGCACGGGCAACTGATAGTGAGATTGGGAGTAGAGCAGATCTCATTTAATGTCTTCAAGGCAATGAAACTACCTGTAGAAACAGACAACTGTTTCCAAATTGACGTGATTGATACAGTGATCCAAGACTCCTTTTTGCTACACAACCCATCAGATGCATTGCACATTCGCAGTCAACGTAGTCTGATTCAATGGAGATAGAAACTTGTGCAAGGTTTCTGGCTGCCAACCCACCTATACACAAAAAATGCATTTTGAGGAGCTTAGAACAGGACCTACGAAACCACTACCATCCATTCAGCAGCCACCGAAATTAGAACTCAAGCAGTTACCACCATACCTCAGATATACTTACTTGGGAGAATCATGTACACTCCCTGTGATCATTTGAAACACAGTCAGCGAAGTGGAAAAAGAGAAACTGCTTAGGGTGCTTAGGAAGAATAAGACAGCAATTGGATGGACCATAGTAGATATCAAATGGATTAGCCCCTCAATGTACATGCATAAGATTCTCATGGAAGAGAATTTTCAACCAACCATAGAAAGTCAGCGAAGGTTGAACCCAAATATGAAAGAAGTGGTCAAAGCAGAGGTACTCAAACTTCTTAATGTTGGAATCATATATCCGATATCAGATAGTGCTTGGACTAGCCCAGTTCAAGTGGTGCCAAAGAAAGGAAGAATAACGGTAGTACCCAATGAGAAGAATGAGTTGATATCAACTAGAACAGTCACAGGATGGAGGGTTTGCATTGATTACCGCAAATTTATTGCAGCAACAAGGAAAAATCACTTTCCCCTTCTGTTTATAGACCAAATGCTGGAGAGATTGGTAGGTCACTCACATTACTGCTTCCTCGACGGGTATTCGAGTCACAATCAGATACCAATGGCACAGACGATCAAGAGAAAACTACATTCACTTGCCCGTACGGTACTTTTGCATACTCTAGAATGCCTTTCCGCCTTTGCAACGCCCCTGCCATTTTGCAACGTTGTATGATGGCAATTTTCTCAGACATGATAGAGAAATTTATTGAGATATTTATGGATGACTTCTCAGTCTTCATTTGACGAGTGTTTTGAACACTTGAATCTGGTATTACAAAGATGCAGGGACACCAATTTAGTATTAAACTGGGAAAAATGCCACTTCATGGTGCAAGAGGGGATCGTGCTTGGGCATCAGGTCTCAGCAAAAGGGATTGAGGTGGACAAAGCAAAGATTCAAGTTATTGAAAAGTTACCACCACCAACATCAGTTAAAGGGGTTCGCAGCTTCTTGGGACATGCTGGATTCTACAGGAGATTCATAAAAGATTTTTCAAAAATCACCAAGGCTCTCAGCGTCGGTAATTGTAGCACCTGATTGGGAATTGCCTTTCGAGTTAATGTGCAATGCTAGGGATCATGCCATAGGCGCAATATTGGGGCAGCGAAAGAACAAGATTTTCCATGTAATATATTACGCAAGCCGTACATTGAATGATGTCCAGATCAACTACGCGACCACTGAAAAGGAGATCTTAGTGGTGGTCTATGCCTTTGACAAATTCAGATCATATCTCGTGGGGTCTAAGGTCGGTCTACATAGATCACGTTACATTGAAATATCTAATGACAAAGAAGGATGCCAAGCCGAGGCTAATCCGTTGGGTGTTACTATTACAAGAATTCGACATTGAAATTCGGGACAAGAAGGGCAGTGAAAACGTGGTAGCAGATCACCTATCGAGATTAGAATAAGAGCCTAAAACGTCAGTGGAAATCAATGAAATTTTTTAGATGAGCAGATGTTCAATGCAGAAGAAGTCCCATGGTATGCAGGCATCATCAATTATTTGGCTAGGTCAATCCCACCGCCAGATTACTCAAGTCACCAGAAGAAGAAGGTCTTTGCCGAGCTGAAATATTATTTTTCGGAAGATCCTATTCTTTATAGGCGAGGTGCTGATTAGATTGTGAGAAGGTGTATACCTGAAGATAAAGTACCTGAAATTCTTGAGCATTGTCATTCATCTACTTATGCATATGGGGGCTTCAAAGACTATAACTAAGATTTTACAGTCAGGGTTCTATTAGCCTACATTGTTCAAAGACACCTTTGAATATGTTAAAAGGTGTGATAGGTGTCAACGCACTAGGAACATCTCAAGAAGGAATGAGATACCACTAAACAACATATTGGAAGTAAAGATGTTTGACGTATGGGGAATCGATTTTATGGGACCATTTTCCCCATCATTTTCAAATCAGTACATCCTGGTAACAGTTGATTATGTGTCAAAATGGGTAGAGGCAGTTGTATTGCCAACGAACAACGTGAAAATGGTAATTGGATTCTTGAAGAAATACATCTTTACTAGATATGGTACACCACGAGCTTCAGTGATGGAGGCAAACATTTTTGTAATCGCCAATTTGAGTAATTATTGAGTAAATATGGGGTTAAACATCGAATTGCAACCCCACATCATCCACAAACCTGTGGGCAAGTCGAAGTGTCCAATTGGCAGCTGAAGAGAATATTAGAGGTCTCAGTAAATTCATCCTGAAAAGACTAGTCAAAAAAGTTGGACAATGCATTGTGGGCATATAGGACAACATTCAAGACACCGATAGGCATGCCTCCATTCTGCCTAGTCTTTGGAAAAGTATGCCACCTTCCAGTGGAAATAGAACACCGGGCATACTGGGCTATGAAACAATTGAACATGGATTTGAAAACTGTCGGTGAAAAGCGTTTATTGCAACTCAATGAGCTAGATGAATTAAAAATGGAAGCATATGAAAACTCGAAACTTATCAAAGAACACACCAAAAGGTGGCATGATCTACACATTCAGAGACGAGATTTCGAGGTAGGGTAGAAAGTCCTGTTATATAACTCGAGACCCAAGCTTTTTCCTGGAAAACTAAGATCAAGGTTGTTGGGCCCCTACACTGTCACTAAAGTTCTACCATATGGAGCTATACAGGTCATCCATGAAACAAAAGGAACATTCACAGTTAATGGGCAAAGGCTGAAACACACTATTGGGGCGAGGATTTCTCAAAACAAAAGTCCACCGTCTAACTCAAAATGCCTAATTAAAGCAGAAGTGGAGGAGTCGAGCTATAAACTATAAACTAGCGCTGGGTGGGAGGCAACCCACTGTATCCATTTCATTACTTTAAATTTTTGCATTAGCTTAGAAAATTTTAAATTTTCACGTTTGATTTTTTTTAGGTTTAGGTCAACGATCATCCATGCATGTCAATCGAGTCTAAGCACTACCCACACGGGTCCCTATTCTCGAGCACAAGTTAGGAATCACTGATTTAGTGTTTAGGTGATTAAATGTGAACATCACGCATTTCGAGGTAGAAAGTGTGTTTTTCAAAGTACTTCAAGGATCAAAGGGTGATTTCAATTTTAAAAAGTGATTTTGGGAACTAAGTCAATGACCTACACGTGCCCCATATGGTCTAATGTGTTTTGATAAATTTTGGGGGACGATGAAATGCCAGTTCGAAGACACAAGTTGAAAACTAAAAATTTGGGAGAAAATTTGGTCAAGGTTGAATTTTGGGGAATCAATTGTGTTCTTAAAAAATTTTCACGTGCATTTAGTTAAAAAAAAAGGACGTTTAATCTATGCGACCGCATAGACGTCTATGCGGCCGCATAGATGTGGTCAGGGCCGATTTTATCTATATGCGACCGCATAGAGTAATAACGAAAAAAAATTACTTTAAAACACATGACTCTCACACTCACATCAACACCCAGTTCCCTCTCTCTCACACGCACAACTCTCGCCCGTCTCATCCCGCGCATCTCAACACCACACCACAAACACAAGACCCACAACTCATCACAATTCATAACCCACATTACAACCCATCTTGCCATTCATCTTGTGGTGGTATAATATAATTCTAAATCCCTACAAGTTTGCAAGGTAAATTCTCGATACCAATAAATTCCGAAATTGGGAAAATTGTTTTTTTTATTTGATTGGTATTCGATGGAAGTTGGGTAATTGTGGTGTTTATGATTCATTTGTGACATTGGATGCTAGTTTAGAGAGCATCAATAGCCAAAATAGGAATAATTTCATAGTTCGATAAAATGCCTAAGTTAAACTTCTATTGCATTTTTGTGCATCTAGCGTGGCATGTGATTGATGATTGAATCGATTACCTTTTTGTGATGAATTACCACACAATTTGAATTAGAAAACACCAACACACATGTACATGGCTAGGTCACGGCTGGCTTGTCATGGCACCCTACGTCCCCTACTTTACCCCATAATTTGACACACCAAACGACATCCAATTGATTTGAAAGTTGAGTATGTGCTCCTCATTGAATTCTTCCCTATGCCCGAAGATTGCTCGGGAAAAATTCTATATTTCTCGACGACGCCCAATGTTGAAAATGCGTACTCGATCATGGATCAAATTTTCATAAATGTGCATGTTTGGGCCAAATTTTGCTAGTTTTTCTTATTGGCGCAATATTTCTACTTTCTTGAATATCATGTTTTGAATATTGTACATCAACGTGTTAAACATGCATGTTGAAGCAAGTTTGGAGGATTTGTGAAATATGTGCTTTCCTGATCTCATTCCATTTATCGTTTTTCAACAAGAAGTTTAATGAATGCTATTTTTCAACTTTGCATGCCTCCAAAACGAACCTCGAAAAGGAAAGAAAAAGTTGGCTCATCTTCCAAAACAGCCTGTACTCGAGTTCTTGAAGGCGGGATACAAAGATTTTTAAATTCTGAGACAGCAGCCTGCTATGAAAACATTGTGAGTCGGTGGATAGTAACACCAGGGAGGACGGTTAAATTAGAGGATTTTCCAGATTTTGAGTTGATCACATTGGTGGATAACTATGGGTGGGCAAAGGTAGTAGAGCAACCACATCGGATCTATGAATGGGTGGAAGAATTCTATGCAAATTTCAATGCAGAAATCGACACACCAGGGTCCCACCACTTGTACCAGACATGGGTCAAGGGACAGTGGATTATGTTCTCGCCAGAGGTTATTCATGACTATTTGATCAGCTCACATGGGATAACATAATCCCCATCCCCAGAGATTTCAATTGGAATGAAGTGGCAGAGATCCTATTGGGGCGACAAAATACATGGCCACTCCCCACCACTGCATGGCACCAAATTGAGCTGACACCATCTATAGCCATCTTGTCATTGTTTATGTGCCATAACATTGAACCAACATCGCATAGGACCACATTCACAGATCCCACAACCAGGATCATCTATTACTTGGTGCGAGGAAATAAGGTCAATCTCGCCACCTCCGCTATAATCAAATCCATCATGTGGGTACTCTGGGAGAGAGGCACAATATGCATGGCTGTTGGCATCAATATCGTACCAGGGAGGCACCTGCAAAACCCAGCCCCCCTATAAAGTGCAGTACACTGAAAGCTCAAGACAGGGCCAGAATAAAGCACAAGGAAAAATAAGAGAGCGAACGCCGCAGGTAGCAGGAAGAGTAGGGTCAGGTGCCTGCAGATCAAGAGATGCGACAAGCCCCACCACCACAGATTGAGGTGGATACACAGTTGTGGCGTCAGATATTCGCCGCCACCACGGGAACCAGTCGCGACATATAGGGTCTCCAACAGGCTATGGGGGCTTTGACGACTGACATGCAGAGAGCCCGACGTGACATTCGCATCGGCATGATATGGCACGAGTCACTCACCTGGATTCAGAGGCAGCCAGGAGGGAGACGAAAACTATGAACGATTGACTGAGTATGTATGTAGGTCGGGTGGATGGCATCCAGTTGCGAGTGAATGAGACTTGGGAACGTCTGGGCGGAATGGAGACACGCGTTGGCGGAATCCAAGAGGAGATGGTGCAACAGTCAGCAATGATGAGAAAGATTTTAGCGTGCCTACCTCCACCTCCAGATGATGATACAGTAGGAAATATTTTTCCACCACCACCTCCATATTGATTAGGGAAGTTTATTTCACTCATTTGCTAACTCTAATTTGCAATTATCTTCAAAATATGCCTTTTGTTTTTCACATTGAGGGCAATGTAATGTATAAGTTTGGGGTGGTGGCATATTTTGAATGTAACCCTTCTACTTTTGAAAACACAATTATCGGCATGTAATGTAAATTTTTAATTCTGTGACACTGGTTGAACATTGTGTGCTTGACGAGTGATTATTGCATTAATATACTATATTTGGTTCATTGCATGCCTGTGTAGGTTTGATAGTCTTGCCAGCAATGATGTGATTATTGGAATAGGTGTGTGTTAGGAACTGTGAATATAGTACAGAATTTAATCAACTGATACTTGTTGGGATAATACTTGACATTCCATATGCACGTCACTCATACCATATATGTCAGGTAAGTGATTGGGTTTGAGTAAAGCAGAAGAAACCAGAAAACCTCGACTATATTTAGCCATAATGTAGATCCATAAACCAAAAAATGCCTTAATGCATAGTTTGGAGAAGGTTTAACAATTATAGGGGAACGTTGAGATAAGTGGGGGCTCCGTGCATGAATTACACCGTGTGGATTACCTAGACAAATGAGATATAGACCCCAGAAAGTCTTAATTTGGGGGCTGATTTCAGAAGCAAAATGTCTAGAAAAATGAAGGGGCGTAAATCTAGGGTAAGAAAATTTAACACATTTCCAAGCCTTTATGACTCGAGCAAGTAAGCCTTTAAGGATATCTTGAAATCTGGTGCCTTAAAACCAACTGGTTTGGGAGACACCGGCTCAAAGCTCGTTACAGGGGTCATATAGAAAGCAAGAGGGAAAGAGGTCAGTAAAAAGTCATTTGATCGAACATTTATAACTCGAGTGAATAAGCCTGTAGGGGTTTGAAACCTGGTACCCTTTCAACTGGTTTGGGAGTCATCGGTCTAAAGTTCACTGCAGGGATTATATAGAAAGTAAATTAGAAGATGATAAAAAAATAAATAAATAAATAAAAATTTACAGAATATGATGGTACGAATAAAGCCTTTGGACATTCGGTCGATAAGAATCACACCTTCAAGGCGAGATAAGTAACTTAGTTTAATCTAAAGTGTTAAAGCAATCAAATCTAGGAGAGCCTTCACTTGTTGACATGCGAACCTGTAATATTAGGATCTATCCAAACAAAGAGCTCTTAAGGACTACCACTACCTAAACCCTTAACTTTAAAATATAACCCCCGGATAATTGAGTGAAAAGGATAAGTTTGAGGGGTTGTGCATCTCTTGAGCGAAGTAAGGACATATTTGACCATTTTGGGATCGGGATTGAACCAATCATGAGCTAGCTATGTTGGTATGAGTACACACACACACGATGAGTTTTGCACCCGACAAGTAAAGGTAAATTCTATTCTCACATTATTGAAACTATTTCCTTTGTTAATTACTGAATTCCAATCCTGGGATAAGGCAGGTTATTAAGCCATGTTTGTTGATATTTAAGTCACTATCTTGTTTGAAGACAAACAACAGTTCAAGTTTGGGGGATTTGATAAGTGCGTTTTTGTATACTTGTTTAATGCACAAACATGACTAAATTACGAGCAAAACAATTTAATTGTGGCATAAATTCGATCAATTGTTGGATTGTAGGGTATAATGATGGACTTGACGGAATTCACGAGAAAAAGTAGCAAAAAGGACCAAAATGAATCAAATTGAAAGTTCGGGGACCAAGTTGCAAATAATCCATAGATGAGACGGGCAATGGAATGAAGATTCAAGAGTGCTAATCAATCGGACGAGGAAAGGAGTCAAAGAGGTGAAATATAGTCGTAGTATTATCAAATATCAACTTTCAGGCGAAAAAGCTATACTCGTAATTTTTAGTCTCTACTTGAGATCTATTTTTGGCATAGTAAACATTAAAAGCTATCCGGGAAAAAGAATGACATAACCATGCGATCACATGGTAGAAACTCCTATGCGGTCTCGAATACTAAGGCAGGGAATTAAAATTTCAATTTCCATAAGCCTATGCGATTGCATAGGTATCATAAGTTATACCTATGCGGTCGCATAGGTATATTCTAGGGGCCGATTCTGCAGTTTCCTTTTTGCGTTATAATTCTTTTGGAACTCG